TGTGGAGAGAGACTGTGGAGAGAGACTGGGAGAGAGACTGTGGAGAGAGAGACTGTGGGAGAGAGAGACTGTGGAGAGAGACTGTGGGAGAGAGACTGTGGAGAGAGACTGTGGAGAGAGACTGTGGAGAGAGACTGTGGGAGAGAGACTGTGGAGAGAGACTGTGGAGAGAGACTGTGGAGAGAGACTGTGGAGAGAGAGCTGTGGAGAGAGACTGTGGAGAGAGAGACTGTGGAGAGAGAGACTGTGGAGAGAGACTGTGGAGAGAGACTGTGGAGAGAGACTGTGGAGAGAGACTGTGGAGAGAGACTGTGGAGAGAGAGACTGTGGAGAGAGAGACTGTGAGAGAGAGACTGTGGAGAGAGACTGTGGAGAGAGACTGTGGAGAGAGACTGTGGAGAGAGAGACTGAGAGAGAGAGAGACTGTGGAGAGAGAGAGACTGTGGAGAAGAGACTGTGGAGAGAGACTGTGGAGAGAGACTGTGGAGAGAGACTGTGGAGAGAGACTGTGGAGAGAGACTGTGGAGAGAGACTGTGGAGAGACTGTGGAGAGACTGTGGAGAGAGACTGTGGAGAGAGACTGTGGAGAGAGACTGTGGAGAGAGACTGTGGAGAGAGACTGTGGGAGAGACTGTGGAGAGAGACTGTGGAGAGAGACTGTGAGAGAGAGACTGTGGAGAGAGAGACTGTGGAGAGAGAGACTGTGAGAGAGACTGTGGAGAGAGACTGTGGAGAGAGACTGTGAGAGAGACTGTGGAGAGAGACTGTGGAGAGAGACTGTGGAGAGAGACTGTGGAGAGAGAGACTGTGGAGAGAGAGACTGTGGAGAGAGACTGTGGAGAGAGACTGTGGAGAGAGACTGTGGAGAGAGACTGTGGAGAGAGACTGTGGAGAGAGACTGTGGGAGAGAGACTGTGGAGAGAGACTGTGGAGAGAGACTGTGGAGAGAGACTGTGGAGAGAGAGACTGTGGAGAGAGACTGTGGAGAGAGAGACTGTGGAGAGAGACTGTGGAGAGAGACTGTGGAGAGAGACTGTGGAGAGAGACTGTGGAGAGAGAGACTGTGGAGAGAGACTGTGAGAGAGAGACTGTGGAGAGAGAGACTGTGAGAGAGACTGTGGAGAGAGACTGTGGAGAGAGACTGTGGAGAGAGACTGTGGAGAGAGACTGTGGAGAGAGACTGTGGAGAGAGACTGTGGAGAGAGACTGTGGAGAGAGACTGTGGAGAGAGAGACTGTGGAGAGAGACTGTGGAGAGAGACTGTGGAGAGAGACTGTGGAGAGAGACTGTGGAGAGAGAGACTGTGGAGAGAGACTGTGGAGAGAGACTGTGGAGAGAGAGACTGTGGAGAGAGAGACTGTGGAGAGAGACTGTGGAGAGAGAGACTGTGGAGAGAGACTGTGGAGAGAGACTGTGGGAGAGAGACTGTGGAGAGAGAGACTGTGGAGAGAGACTGTGGAGAGAGAGACTGTGGAGAGAGACTGTGGAGAGAGACTGTGGAGAGAGACTGTGGAGAGAGACTGTGGAGAGAGACTGTGGAGAGAGACTGTGGAGAGAGACTGTGGAGAGAGACTGTGGAGAGAGACTGTGGAGAGAGACTGTGGAGAGAGACTGTGGAGAGAGACTGTGGAGAGAGACTGTGGAGAGAGACTGTGGAGAGAGACTGTGGAGAGAGACTGTGGAGAGAGACTGTGGAGAGAGACTGTGGAGAGAGACTGTGGAGAGAGACTGTGGAGAGAGACTGTGGAGAGAGACTGTGGAGAGAGACTGTGGAGAGAGACTGTGGAGAGAGACTGTGGAGAGAGACTGTGGAGAGAGAGACTGTGGAGAGAGACTGTGGAGAGAGACTGTGGAGAGAGACTGTGGAGAGAGACTGTGGAGAGAGACTGTGGAGAGAGACTGTGGAGAGAGACTGTGGAGAGAGACTGTGGAGAGAGACTGTGGAGAGAGACTGTGGGAGAGAGACTGTGGAGAGAGACTGTGGAGAGAGACTGTGGAGAGAGACTGTGGAGAGAGACTGTGGAGAGAGACTGTGGAGAGAACTGTGGAGAGAGACTGTGGAGAGAGACTGTGGAGAGAGACTGTGGAGAGAGACTGTGGAGAGAGACTGTGGAGAGAGACTGTGGAGAGAGACTGTGGAGAGAGACTGTGGAGAGAGACTGTGGAGAGAGACTGTGGAGAGAGACTGTGGAGAGAGACTGTGGAGAGAGACTGTGGAGAGAGACTGTGGAGAGAGACTGTGGAGAGAGACTGTGGAGAGAGACTGTGGAGAGAGACTGTGGAGAGAGACTGTGGAGAGAGAGAGACTGTGGAGAGAGACTGTGGAGAGAGACTGTGGAGAGAGACTGTGAGAGAGAGACTGTGGAGAGAGACTGTGGAGAGAGACTGTGGAGAGAGACTGTGGAGAGAGACTGTGGAGAGAGAGACTGTGGAGAGAGACTGTGGAGAGAGACTGTGGAGAGAGACTGTGGGAGAGAGACTGTGGAGAGAGACTGTGGAGAGAGACTGTGGAGAGAGACTGTGGGAGAGAGACTGTGGAGAGAGACTGTGGAGAGAGACTGTGGAGAGAGACTGTGGAGAGAGACTGTGGAGAGAGACTGTGGAGAGAGACTGTGGAGAGAGACTGTGGAGAGAGACTGTGGAGAGAGACTGTGGAGAGAGACTGTGGAGAGAGACTGTGGAGAGAGACTGTGGAGAGAGACTGTGGAGAGAGAGACTGTGGAGAGAGAGACTGTGGAGAGAGACTGTGGAGAGAGACTGTGAGAGAGAGACTGTGGAGAGAGACTGTGGAGAGAGACTGTGGAGAGAGACTGTGGAGAGAGACTGTGGAGAGAGAGACTGTGGAGAGAGACTGTGGAGAGAGACTGTGGAGAGAGAGACTGTGGAGAGAGAGACTGTGGAGAGAGACTGTGGAGAGAGACTGTGGAGAGAGACTGTGGAGAGAGACTGTGGAGAGAGAGACTGTGGAGAGAGAGACTGTGGAGAGAGACTGTGGAGAGAGACTGTGGAGAGAGACTGTGGAGAGAGACTGTGGAGAGAGACTGTGGAGAGAGACTGTGGAGAGAGAGACTGTGGAGAGAGACTGTGAGAGAGAGACTGTGGAGAGAGACTGTGGAGAGAGAGACTGTGGAGAGAGACTGTGGAGAGAGACTGTGGAGAGAGACTGTGGAGAGAGACTGTGGAGAGAGACTGTGGAGAGAGAGACTGTGGAGAGAGACTGTGGAGAGAGACTGTGGAGAGAGAGACTGTGGAGAGAGAGACTGTGGAGAGAGAGACTGTGGAGAGAGACTGTGGAGAGAGACTGTGGAGAGAGACTGTGGAGAGAGACTGTGGAGAGAGAGACTGTGGAGAGAGACTGTGGAGAGAGACTGTGGAGAGAGAGACTGTGGAGAGAGACTGTGGAGAGAGAGACTGTGGAGAGAGACTGTGGAGAGACTGTGGAGAGAGACTGTGGAGAGAGAGACTGTGGGAGAGAGACTGTGGAGAGAGACTGTGGAGAGAGACTGTGGAGAGAGAGACTGTGGAGAGAGACTGTGGAGAGAGACTGTGGAGAGAGACTGTGGAGAGAGACTGTGGAGAGAGAGACTGTGGAGAGAGACTGTGGAGAGAGACTGTGGAGAGAGACTGTGGAGAGAGAGACTGTGGAGAGAAGACTGTGGAGAGAGAGACTGTGGAGAGAGACTGTGGAGAGAGAGACTGTGGAGAGAGAGACTGTGGAGAGAGACTGTGGAGAGAGACTGTGGAGAGAGAGACTGTGGAGAGAGACTGTGGAGAGAGAGACTGTGGAGAGAGAGACTGTGGAGAGAGACTGTGGAGAGAGACTGTGGAGAGAGAGACTGTGGAGAGAGACTGTGGAGAGAGAGACTGTGGAGAGAGACTGTGGAGAGAGACTGTGGAGAGAAGACTGTGGAGAGAGACTGTGGAGAGAGACTGTGGAGAGAGACTGTGGAGAGAGAGACTGTGAGAGAGAGACTGTGGAGAGAGACTGTGGAGAGAGACTGTGGAGAGAGAGACTGTGGAGAGAGAGACTGTGGAGAGACACTGTGGAGAGACTGTGGAGAAAGACTGTGGAGAGAGACTGTGGAGAGAGACTGTGGAGAGAGAGACTGTGGAGAGAGACTGTGGAGAGAGAGACTGTGGAGAAAGACTGTGGAGAGAGACTCTGTGAGAGAGACTGTGGAGAGAGACTGTGGAGAGAGACTGTGGAGAGACAGAAGTCCAAATGAAATCAAAATATTTGGAGCCGCACGTCAAAGTCCGGTCTATGTTCAAGTAAGGTTTACCCAGGAGTCCAAGTCAAGTCCAAGTCTCTGGTTCTGCGAGCTAGAGTCAAGTCCAAGTCCAAGTCCCAGCCCAGGAGTCCAAATCAAATCAAAGTCTCTGGATCTCTGCAGGTAAATATCCATGTCTGAGTCCGGTCTATGTCTCTGGAAGTCCAAGTCTCACAGTCTCATACAGTCAGTCTCTGGACCCACAAGCCAAAGTGTAGTCCAAGTCTCTGCCCAGGAGCCCAAGTTAAGTCCAAGTCTCTGGTCCTGCATGTCCAAGTCTCACAGGTTTATACAGTAAGTAAGTAAGTAAGTAAGTATTTATATACCGCCTTTTCACTGCAGATCTGAGTCTCAAAGCGGTTTACAAGTGTTATATATTGGGCATTTTTTTGTCACTCCACACAGAGATGGGATCGGGGTCGCCAGTACATGAGGCGCATGCGCCAGACCTATTGTACATATTTTTAGTGGTAGGGGAAACCGGAGCACCCGGAGGAAACCTACGCAGACACGGGGAGAACATGCAAACTCCACTCAGAAAGGCCCTGGTCCGACCGGGATTCGAACCCAGGACCTTCTTGTTGAGAGGCGAGAGTGCTATCCACTCAGCCACTATGCCGCGGTCACACAGTCTCTGGACATGCCAGCCAAAGTCTAGTCCAAGTCTCTGTCCAGGAGTCTAAGTCCATTTCCAAGTCAGGTCCAAGTCTCTGGTCCTTCAAGTTGTACCCAGTGAAGCGTGCCCCCCCCCCCCCCCCTCGGTCCTCTGCCCCCCCCCCCTCGGTCCTCTGCCTCTGCCCCTGCCCTCTCTCCCCCCCCCCCCCCCCCCCCCCCCCCCCTCGGTCCTCTGCTGCAGACTGAGTTTCGCTGAGGCAGGACTCTGACGATCACTTCATTGATTGTTAATTAGGTTCAGGGTCGAGCGAATAATCAGCTCCTTTTCCCCGGACACACACAACACACCTCACAGTAACACACACTCTACATGTTCACACACACACAACACACCTCATAGTAACACACACAACACACCTCACAGTAACACACACTCACATGTTCACACACACCTCACACTAACACACACTCACATGATCACACACACCTCACACTAACACACACTCTACATGTTCACACACACAACACACCTCACACTAACACACACTCACATGTTCACACACACACACACACACCCACACACAACACACCTCCTCAGGGATCACACACACACACAAACACACACAAACACACGCACACACACCCACACACACCCACACACACCCACACACACACACACACACACACACACACACACACACACACACACACACACACACACACACACACACACACACACATACACGTTTTTGTTACCTGGTGGGTCCCTTTGACAGGGCCGTTCAGAATGGGACCCATAGACATAATCTTTTTTTACCAAGACTTTAAGTAATACAAAACAGTCAATAGAAACCAAACAACTATTTTAAAGGAATTTTATTTTAGATTTTGTTTTCGAATTGCAGTGATTCTATTTTTGACATAGAATTTAATGCCACTCCATGTCCGATGTCTAAGGTCATCTGGTGAGGAGCATTAATGCAGGCCAGGCAGTGAGACTTCCCAGGGACCTTTCCAGTCTGTATGAAAGGTGTCATGGTCTTCTCCACAGCCTTCACCTCAGATGCAGACCATGGCTTTCTTACACGTTCTAGGGAGAGAAATAAAAATATATTAGCAATATACACTCCTAGAAGGGTTCCTGAAATAGGTCTCACCCTCTTGATGTCTATGTTGCCCCTTCGTGATTTGATAATGAGAGACTGGTCCAGTCCTTTCTCTTCCGTTCACCTGTGCCCTGGTGGTTCGAGAGTTAACCGTCCTTCGCCTACTCTCGAGAGGACGCTGACTCCCAGTGTTTTATGCTTTCACCGGCAGGATGAACCAGCATTTATAGTCCCCTGTCCTCCCGCTGAATACGGCCAGACCTAAATTCCCGGGCACGCCGAGGTCACAGCGCCCCCGTTTGCATCAGTCTTCTTTTGATACCCACACAGAGGCTTGTTTCTTTCAGTGTAAAGCTTTTTCTGTGCGAACTGCGTGTTCTCATTCCACCTCTTGAACGTCTTGGATTGGTGCAATCTCAATCACACGGCGGCATTACATCGCTCGCTCTGGTGAATAGTGTGGCGCTATCGGAGGCCCGATTTCACAGTTTCAAAGGAGGCCACCTTTTCTCGGCGGTGTCGTGCAAGTCTTGCATCATACATCAAGGAAATTGTGAATGAAGTTTGTAAGTGTGCTGTACCCCCTTGCCGGTGTTGAACGTTCACCGCAACTGTCCTGCGTCGCTCGCTGTTCGCTCACAGACTGGAAAAGAATACCGTCGTCCACGTCCGTCATAAGGCGCGCATGAAGGAGCAAAGGCGAGAGCTCGCTACTGGCTGCGTGTTCTTGTTGCACCCTTTTCATGGAAAACCCCTCTTGCCGTCTGGAGGTGACGAAGTCGGCTGGAGGGATGGAGGAGGGATCAAAACCCTTTGCTGCTTCGCTTTTGAACATCCGCCTCCTAAAGTCATTTGCATTCGAAGACGTTGACGAACACCGGGAGAAAAACTTCGGCTAGAATACCGTCGTTTACATAGCAATTTCAACGGATTCAAGTCGCTACAACGAAGTCTAAATTTGTTCTCTGGTTTCCATGTCGTGAGCTGTGGCCATCTCTTGACCATATTTCTGGGTGAGTTGAGTGTGTTGTCACTTTTGGAGTTTCTCGATCCTCTTTCTGCTGCTCCGCTGGCCTCTAGCCTTCGAAAAGCGTCGCTGTTCATGATGTGGGTCTGGTGCTAGCTGGGAGATGCGCTGGCAGGCTTCAGGTAAATGGTTTTTACTTACGATGTTAGAGTCTTCTGGACTTATGTCTTGGCAACTATGTTGCCGTTTATGGGGATGTCACGATAGCACATTCAGGAGTTGTAGGAATCCAAAGTAAGGACGTTTCTCAAATAGTCTCCAATCTCTTCAACATCTAAAGTCCTCATCTTTTTGACTTGTAGCTTCACCAACAGGATGTAAATACTAATTTTCGGGTGGAGAACGGCCCTTTTTATTTCAATTTCACACAAGCTACAAGTGATGTTTTTCGATTGAGTTGGTGTTCCCTTTGTACTCGTTTGAGAACATCTGTCAAGCCTTGTGGCAATTGGAATCCCTTTTAAGCTCAGTGATTGTCCAATTACGATTGGTGATCATTATACTGGTTTACATGGAAAAATCCCTATTAAGTTGCATAATACTGGTTTACATGGAAAAATCTCCATTAAGTTGCATTATACTGGTTTACATGAAAAAAAACCCTATTAAGTTGCATTATACTGGTTTACATGGAAAAATCCCTATTAAGTTGCATTGTACTGGTTTACATGGAAAAATCCCTATTAAGTTGCATTATACTGGTTTACATGAAAAAAACCCTATTAAGTTGCATTATACTGGTTTACATGTAAAAACCCCTATTAAGTTGCATTATACTGGTTTACATGGAAAAATCCCTATTAAGTTGCATTATACTGGTTTACATGGAAAAATCCCTATTAAGTTGCATTATACTGGTTTACATGGAAAAATCCCTATTAAGTTGCATTATACTGGTTTACATGGAAAAATCCACATTAAGTTGCATTATACTGGTTTACATGAAAAAAACCCTATTAAGTTGCATTATACTGGTTTACATGAAAAAACCCTATTAAGTTGCATTATACTGGTTTACATGGAAAAATCCCTATTAAGTTGCATTGTACTGGTTTACATGGAAAAACCCCTATTAAGTTCCATTATACTGGTTTACATGTAAAAAAAAAAACCCTATTAAGTTGCATTATACTGGTTTACATGGAAAAATCCCCATTAAGTTGCATTATACTGGTTTACATGAAAAAAAAAACCCTATTAAGTTGCATTATACTGGTTTACATGAAAAAAACCCTATTAAGTTGCATTATACTGGTTTACATGGAAAAAACCCTATTAAGTTGCATTATACTGGTTTACATGGAAAAAACCCTATTAAGTTGCATTATACTGGTTTACATGTAAAAACCCCTATTAAGTTGCATTATACTGGTTTACATGGAAAAATCCCCATTAAGTTGCATTATACTGGTTTACATGAAAAAAAACCCTATTAAGTTGCATTATACTGGTTTACATGAAAAAACCCTATTAAGTTGCATTATACTGGTTTACATGGAAAAATCCCTATTAAGTTGCATTATACTGGTTTACATGGAAAAATCCCTATTAGGTTGCATGATTACACTGAAGTCCTTGAAACTGCTGAAGTCCTTGAAACTGCTGAAGTCCTTGAAACTGCTGAAGTCCTTGAAACTGCTGAAGTCCTTGAAACTGCTGAAGTCCTTGAAACTGTTGAAGTCCTTGAAACTCTTGAAATCTTGAAACTGCTGAAATCCTTGAAACTGTTGAATCCTTGAAACTGTTGAATCATTGAAACTGTAGAAATGTCTGAAAGAGCTGAAGTCCTATTAAAATGCATGGGCCTATTAAAATGCATTGCAGAATTCTCAATGCAGATTTTTGTCCGATTGCGGAAAAACCGGAAATCGCTGAAGTCCCAAAAGTAATAGCAATAATCTCCCAAACATGTGGAACGTTTTGATGTATAACTTGTGGAAATTGTTGAAAATGTGAAAGCTGTGAAACGTGTCAAAAAAAATGACGGAATAAAGAAATACAAAACCAATGGTTGACTGCGGAAGGTTCCGCAGTCAATCAATTATTTTATTTTTTATTTTTTATCTCCAAGGCGTCTAGACAAGTTTTTTCCCTACATTTTGGTGATATAAAAGTTAGAATGATCTTAGAGAGCATTATACTTTTGGAAAAATAGGGCTTAGGATAGCAGTTGAATGCAGATTTGGTTTTCAGAATTTAATGTTTAAAATGTTAATATTAATTATTTCATAGGTTTATGTAGATTTGTAATTAATCATTGGTTTCGTATGGTAATTAACACACTTGTTTGTGCTTCTTGTTTGTCTGTTTTTTCCGAGAAAACTTCTGTCTGTTTCATTTGGCCAAAAATCGTCTCTGCCACAAACCACCATTAGCGTCTCCCCCAGACCCACAGGGGGCACCAAAGACTGCAGCATCGGCTGCAGCAGCTAACAGGAACTCTCGAAGAAGACTCCTCCAGCCCCATTTCATGGAGAAAAACCAGACTTTTGCACAAACCGAGTGGAGTTATGTGCACGGAGAAGAACGTTGTGTAAACCTAACAAGAAGAAGAAGGACACACACTGAGACAAAGAAAGACATGAGAAAGTGATTGAAAGAAGAAGAGAGAAAGTGATTGAAAGAAGAAGAAAGAAAGTGATTATTGAAAGAAGAAGAAAGAAAGTGATTGTTTAAAGAAGAAGAAAAAGACATTGAGACAAAGACATTGGACACTTTGAGACAAAAGACATTGAAAGACGCCATGAGTAAAAGAAAGACATTAACGGACATTTGAGACGTGGCTGGCCTAAATGAGACAGACAGAAGGTAAATATACAGACAGGCAACAAACGCACAGAGACATATTAAGTCATATTTACACATTTAGCTAGGTCATTCGTTCATAACACCACATTTAGCTGCATGAAAGAATACAGGACAATCGTTAAAATTAATTCGACTCTTGCTTTAGCATGAGACACAAGGAGATTAGAACAGCAGTATATTTAAAGTAGAGGAGCTCTATTATTGAAACTAGTATTATTATTTAAAGTTATAGACGCGGAGAAGTTTAGAATTATTGATTTTAACTGCATGATCTTGGTAATACGGATATTTAAAGCAGTGTTTTCAACCTCTGAACCGTGGCTCGTTAATCATTTAAAAACAATCACATGCACAGATGAAACTGGTGCTAGGAAGAGAACTGCAGCTTTTAATGGACGCTGCATTTAGTACAAAATGGTTTGTTCAGACAAATTAAAGTTTGAAAAATGATTTAAAGCATTTCTGAATTTTGGCTAAAGGTGATATTGGATCATTTCTGATAACACATAGACGCAACACTGTTCATTGGTTGAAAACAAAGATGTAGGGACATTTTTTGAAATCTTTTATGACATGTTTCTCTTCCAAATAGCTAAATTAGAAACAATTAGGACAATTATGTCTTTGATATAACTGTTGGCCGTTCATCTGAGACATGATTGGTGCAAGTACACACACATAAAACAATGGTCTTTTCTCCACATGAACGTGAAACAAAGGTGAAGTATTAAAGTTTGAAACTAATTTACATTTTTAAGGAATCCGAACTGGCTTTAAAAAAAAAAGGGAAAAACATTTATTGCACGTGCATGAGTTTTTTTTTAAGTAACAAGAGCTCATTAAAAATATAGGGGACACAGTTTGTGACAAGCCCGAGTAAAGACCACGTGGTTTAAACACTAAAAGTTTGAAATGGATCCTTGTAGGAAAAATCTATTAAAAGCTTTGCATGTTCTGCAGGCTCTGAAAGTTGCAACAAGGGAAATAGCTCATGAGACAATTGTAATTGGACATGGAAAAATATAACAAAGTTAAAATTACAGGCCTTCTGTGTTATATGTTTGTGTGTGCTATATGTTTGTGTGTGTTATATGTTTGTGTATGTTATATGTTTGTGTATGTTATATGTTTGTGTATGTTATATGTTTGTGCGTCATGTCAATTGCACTACGTTGACCTTAACAAACTCTGGACCAATATACTAACGTGGGGAGTCGGCCTGAGTGAGTGATGCGAGTGTGGAGTGAAATGAGGAGGGAACGAGGAGTGCTGAACGGAATCATGGAATAACAAAAGTTTTCTGTAATGTTTTAATGTGATCATGGAATAATTATGTTTTGTCAACAGCATACGGTGTAAGTACTAGAGATTCAAAGATAACAAGCTTTATTGAACAGGTGTAAAAGTGAGAGTACTCTGGGATGAGTACTCTGAGAAAAGTACTCTGAGAAAGTACTCTGAGATGAAATACCTTGCTGAAGACACTGGGAGTCCCTCCCTCTGCTGTTTGTCCTGACAGTGATTCGGTCCAACCGCAGTGAGCTGTCGTTGGTTGAAGGACAACTTTGGTTTGTAACTCACATTTAGGGGAGTATAAAATTAGAAACATACATATTGTTAAGTCTGTATTTGGCTACAGCCTCTGCCCTGATGTCACACACCGTCTGTCAATGTAGTTATGTTTTGCCCAATTGGATTGATTGACAGGCTGCACAATGCGAAGAGGGGGAAGTGGGCGTTTCTTGTGTTCTAATGTTTGTTTTTCAGATGAAAGATAAACTGCACCTGCTTCAGGGATGACAGTAGTATGAATTAAGGAAATGAGCCTCTACTTTGGCACCAAAGCCCACAATATGAATTGAGGACGATCCGGGAGGAACAACTGAAGATGATTGGAACAGTAATCTACACACACACACAGATGCATGTTTTATACTTTGGACCACGACCAACAGAGGGAGTATAGTAATGTTATTGTCATAGGTGGTCATGGTCCTTAA